GACAAACAACCGTCTGTACGACGACGCTCGCAATGTTCGATAGAGTTAGAGCTTTTCTAATCAGTGACGTACTTACTTGTTCGTAACGACACTGGGTGCGCAAGTGTCGCACGTAAACACGCCGGTGACGAAGTTTTGGCGCAATCAATCTAATTATACGTAGTTGCGCGTGCTAAAGTTTGCATTGATAATCACCAATTCTGTTCGAAGTACGAGTTGGAGTATTTTGTTAACTTCTTAGACAGTTTATTGGTGGTTCCCGAGATTTAGAATATAAACATTTATCTTTTTCATAGAGTAAGATTTCGGGGCCGCCAGACCATACACGCATGTACACATACTCGCTAACTGTGCTGTGGGCTAATTGACGTGATCAGGTGGCACAAGAATGTAAAAAAAATACTCACTTTACTTAAAGTCTGAGGACTGATTCTTCCATATGATATAGAGAATATTGTAAACAATTAGAAATTAATACTGCCAGACACCTTCTATCGGCACTATTTATTGACATACACTTTATATATCGAAAGTAAAAAAACCACAACAGTTGAATACACTACACTTAGAAAAAAATGTTATTAAATGTAAAAATGTTGTTAAATGTTATGAATAAAAATGCCTACTAGTGTTTTGTTTTATTTGTGATATTTGCTGTGAAATTATAATATCATGAAATGAAAAAGATATTAAAAAATGCATCTTTACATTTTGATACAAAACGTTTATTTTTACGCCTGTGGAAAAACTGTCGGGAATACGTCATCGTTCCCCATGATAGATGTGAATTATCAGCTGGCGAAGGCAGCGTGGGCGGGGGAACCGCGTTGTGTAACGTCATCGCCTCTGACGTCCGCAAACCACCCTTAGCCGTATGTTACGGTTGTACAGACAAATCTAAATGTTTCCCGAAATAGCGACACGTTACCGTCTAGCTAGATACGTGAATTCATACTATTTTTAAGGTAGAACTTGTTCTTTGCTGGAAAACCCAAGAGTTTCCTTTAAATAAAAGTGTATTGAATGTCGAAAGTAAAGGTGTAATTTGCTTAAATTACTTATAAGTTTAAAGTGCGTACTTACTAAGTTTTATTTCACTAATTTATTAATTTACTAGTGGGTGCTGGCGACTTCGGCTACGTGGATATATTGTTTCCCATATTAACTTCCACCCCCTTAAAGGATGATTTTTAGGATAAAAACTGTCCTATCACCTTTCTCAGGACTCAAACTATCTCTATACCACTTTAATTGAATCGGTTCAGCGGTTAAAGCGTGATCAGGGAACAGAAAGACAGACGGTTAGACACACCTTCGCATTTGTAATATTAGTGTGGATATATTTTCTTCATCTTCAGTTTCATACTGTATGCCTGAAATTTTGATATAGTTATGATAGTTTATTAAATAATAACTCTCAATTAAAATTGGATTATCTTTGAATAAATACCTATCTTTTTTATAACAGGGAGAAAACTTGCTTTTCCGACCACAACATCACGCACTAAACAAAAATTTGATTAAATGAATATCTCACTTATGCATTTACAACGGAAAGCTTCGGTACAAAAGTTACGTATATTATGATTTTCTGTAATTTTTCTGACAATAAAGACTGAATGAATAGATTAATTTAAAAATAATTTTTAGCTCAATAGCGGAGCGGGGAAGTTGTCGCACTATAAGTTTTTCCTTAGCAACGTGATTTAATATTTATATAGAAATATAATGAGATATTATTATTTATTTTATAGTTATGTACAATATGTATATTCAATTAAACCAAATGATTTGTTATATATATTTCAAATGGTAAAATCAGTAGTATTTGCGGTATCTAAACTTCATTGAATGCAATGAGTCTTAATGGCGGGAGCTTTAGAAAAACGATGGATTCGTTTATTTATTTCTTGAATCTGTAATTTAACGTTGGCCAAGTATAACGTCATGTATAATTCATGGGATTACAAATGCACAGTGACAGCATGCTAGAGCTAGAAACTGTTAGTTCCTTAATGTTTCTATTACATAGTAACTTTGCTACGACTCGTCGCGTCGTTTTTATTTCAACCTTATTTATAAAAAAAAACATTTGAATAAATAGTCCCAATTTGGATAAAAATGTTATAAACATTTACCTAATAGTCAGTAAAATAGATTTATTATCCCTCCTTAGCGTGCAAATATAGCTTTTGACTATAAAATGGCGAAGGTAATGCAATTTCGGAAATTGTTATTGCATTTTATGACAACATTAAAACGTTAATAAAATACTTTTGGCGCACTTGTATTATCTAAAACGTATTACCATCGATATATAATGTATTGCATTCGTTGCACAAAGAGTTATTATGGAGTGTTACCTTCAAAGTAGGCGTAAGTCAAAAGGAAGTTAGTTGCCGACTGGGCGGCCGGCAAGGGCGTCCTTGAAACAAAGCGCGGGTCGATGCGTGACGTAACGAGCGCGTCACGGGCGCAACGAGGCAGGCCCGCCGCCTCGCGGCTACCCCCACACTGCCGTCTCAACGTTTTCTAATACCACCCCATACTCTATTTTTAGACTTTTGACGTAAACGTGCTTCGAAGCAGAAACCGATATGATGCTAGATGCTACTTTACTACAGCAAATTGAGCCATTTCAGGCAAATCACTTGAGTAAGTAGTTTGGAAATCGTTAGCTTTTCACGAATTTGGATTAGTTTATTGTTTTAATTTTCTTACTGAGTGAGAACACGTATCGAAAACTGTTAAGATTCACAACGGATAGATCTTAGAGCCGATAAGATTGAAAGTAGTAAAGATGACAATGATAAATGAAAACAACACTTTATCCGAGAATCATTCAAATGGCCATAACCCTTGTCAGGTACAGGAATATGAATTGAGAAAAAAAAAGTAAGGATTCCCCTACCCGCCGCGGGTGGCATCAGTGAAGGTGACGCGCGGGGTTGCCCCGTGTGACGTCACAACAGCTGGCTATACACCCTGTTTATTATTGTATGTCAATAATGAAAGCACCTTATCCGCTGTATTGAGCAAAATATTGCCACTGATCCACCTACCTTTAAAAGGCTAAGTTGCGAATACTCAAATCAAATTTGCATAATAGTCGCAATAAAATTTTAGAATCGCCATAAGCAGTAAACGGATTTTAGAGTATTTTTTATTATAATAGGACCACTTTTATCCTCGATGAAAAAACAAGTCGAGGGTCACAAATTGATGATTCCTAAAAAGTGAAAGTAAACACGCGCACACATAAAAGAGACGAACACACCGATACGGATGATGAAGGAAGGCAAGTGTTGGCTTTGTTGTATTTTTTAATTTTGTTTTTAATTAAGTGAAGATATAGTTAAGCGAACCGGTGCGCCCGGCATATCGAGATCACGCATGATACAAATATAATGTTGTGACCGGCGATTTGCAGAGGCCGCAACTGGACAGGTGCAGCGTCTCCATGTTGCGACAACCGATTGGGCAAGGTAGGCAGTTCGACTGAGGCCGTCGGCTCCGGGGACGACATAAATATCCCACAATATGGTCGCAGATTACCTAATGCCCTGAGTGAAACAAACACTAAGACGATTTAACTTGTCGCCTTAATGGCACCTTGGGGAAGCTGCGTACGCGCACATACGCTATGCATGCCGGCCGCAAATAGTAAGAAGTATAATTTATGCTAGTTATATGTGGCAGTCTGTAAGATCTTTTAGCAACCTAGCAAGTTTTGCAATGTGAAGTTTATACTCTTATTTGTGTAACTATTTTTATTAATTAAAATCCTTTACTCCATGTTTACGTGATGAACTTAAGTGAAACTTTTAATTAATTGAAGGTTAATAGAGATAAGATTTTTTGGTCACATATTTAATTTTCACGAAAGTGTAAGTTAATTGATGATCACGTGCCCATATTTGTGTCGGTGTATATTATGTACTATGATTTTGTTTTTACAAACCTTCTGTGATTTTTGTTCCATTCGGTGGGTTTTGTGATGACAAACATTTTTATTCTTATATTGTAAGCAGTTATCAGAATCATTAACCGATAAATTACTTTATTTTTTACTAAAGAAATGAAGACAAGAAACTTGTTAAGTTATAGATACTTTAATATTTTATTTCCATTTAGTAATCTTACTCATTGACTTATAAATTACTCTATTTTTTACAAAGAGATATACAAGTAAAAGCTTTTTAAGCTTTATATAGATTGTTTTATATTTTAGTGCACAATTTTAAAATTTTACTCAAATGTAACATTAGCTTTTATTTTTAACGAGATTCAGCCCGCGATTTCGTCCCCGTTAACTTAAGTTTCGCGCAAGTTTCTTAGTTTTTTCAGTAAGAATCTCCTAATAACTACCTTTTAGAAAACTTCGAAAAAAAGATAGATGCAAACAGATAGGTGAAGTTTTATTTTCCTAAACTTGAAAACAAAACTTCAGCGATTTCATCCAAGGGAAATAGTGATTATTTTTTATATATTTTTAATAAGTACTTCGACACAATTTTGGGTACAAATATACTTAAAAATATCTATTTTATTTGTAAAACTAGTTTTGATCTATACTATATGACCATAGCGAGTTAAACCACAATGTTTAACAGGAAGAAGATAAAGAATTTGCTAATACCAATACGCGATCGAATACATGAATATTGTTTGATTATTTTCTGACCACTTTGGTAGGTAGATTTTGTGTTTGTTATGCACACACACATTTCGTTCTCATTCAACATTTATATTTGATGTAACTAACAAGTACTTCCTACTGATATAAAAAAAAATAGTAGTATGAAAACTTAAAGCTTCTTTCTCACACATTTATATATGGATTTTTCGTTTATACCTAAGTTTTTTTTTATGTTTTGGAGCATAAAAGAGTATTTTATGATAGGAATAAGGGAAAAAATATAAAATAACATTTAAAAAAATATTATAAATGGCAAAAAAAAAAAAAATACAAATCATAAAACAGAAAAGGGGGTACGTACGTGTGTTTTGGAAATGTCTAAGGCCGCAGTGTTGGCTGGAGGGCGTCAGCAACGCACCTCGCATTCTAGCCGATGGCCATCGTCACGACAGTTCCACACAGAGTCTACAACACCCAAAGGTTCTACACAACGAAAGCGAAAATAAACACAGATGTGGTGGATCGCGGTAGGTCGTGCGGGCGCTGACCTGGCGCAGGCTTGTCGGGGTCCAGCGAGGAATCACGCGGCTCCAGGGTCAGGCCGAAACACGCGCCGGACAGTCCCAGCTCGCTCAGCAGGATCCTCATGCGGCCGAGCACATTCCACTCACTGCACGCGCACTCACTCACTCGGTCAGTCGGTAGGTTGATGCGGTTCGCGAGAAGGTGCGCGGAGGTACACGCTTGTGAACGGTCGGTGCGTTACTGAGGCCGCCGCCGCCGAGGCTGGTGGCTATATCGCGGCGTATGACGTCACGGGTGCGACGTCACGACGGCGACGTCATTAACGGTACCTCCCACGACCCGCCCGCGGCCGCCCGCCGCCGCCCGCCCGAGCCTGCGCTAACGGCACCGCTAGTACGGTTCGGAGCTTTCATACGCCCGCTCCGCCCGCGTCACACCGTACACCCGTGCGCTTTTCACAGGGAGACAATCATGCCCTACCGTTATGCATTTACACTTTTCTGATATAAATAAACAAGTCCATAATAATGTCTTCACAATGAAAACTATATATTAACCATTCCTTCAAACTTACAGTGAGATTCTTAAATTAGATTTTCAAAACTGATTTCTCAAAAGTGATAATAAAATATTGAAAATTTCGAAATGATGTCGTTAACGAATAACATTTTGGTTTATTAATTTCTTTTTGGACTACTTTTTTAAAAACGTATAAAACGCTACAACGTTAATCAAACGAATGCCTAATTTTTATTTTAGTATCACGAATTGAAACCAATCAACACTTTCGCGTACGCGTAGAATAGCTTCTAGAGAGCTTCCTATGATATTTTACGATATCGGTAAATACCTTAGCTGCCACTTTATGCATTTTATTTAATTATGTACTTCCTAAAGAAACTTTTGTATAACATTAGTGTCATGTCATAAATTCATTGTTCGATTTATTCAAATGTTATTTTTGTAAAAAAATCTTTCTAACATAACACAATCTATCAAAATACTATTAATTTTTGTGTATTTCATTGCATTTTTACTGTAGAATGGACACAATTTTAAGTGTGACGTTTATTAATTTACTAGTTTTTATAGGTTGCATTTCTGTTTTGATGTAGGTACTCAGTTAGTAGTTCAGGATCCCATGACAAAAATTGTATACTCAGTCTCAGTAAGTAGCTTAAATATCCCTGAGTCAATAATGCTATTGCATTAAAATATTATCTTTACGTATTTCTTTCTGTATTCCGGGTCGGTTGTTTTGTAAAACTTGAAATGCAAAAACTTGATGATATATATTTTTTTTAAACTTTGGTGACTACTACTACTGCTAGCGGTCGCCCGCGACTTCGTAGGCGTGGATTTTGTTAGAAATAAAGGGTCACTGCTGGGTCCCCGTAGGTGATAGCGTGATATTATGTAGCCTATATGTTGACCCGACTTCTTCATAATATTCGTGCCAAATTTGAAGTAAATCCATGCAGTACTTTTTGAGTTTATCCCGGATATACATACAGACAAACAGACAAAAATTCTAAAAACTATATTTTTGGTCGGTATCGTTTGTAGATCACACCCCAAGTATTCTTTTAAAAAAATATTCAATGTACAGTTTTGCCTTACCTACCATTTTATTATATGTATAGATAAATACACAAGCATGGTTCAAAAGGCGCACTTTATGCTAATAGCATGCTCTCCCAGTCAACCTTTGGAAAAAATTCAAAACTCGAATGGCGACCTAATAATGTGTGGCCGTAAGTTATACAAAGATGGAAATTTAGACCAAAGTCACTACAAGAATCTCTATTTATAAATTGCGTCCTTATTTCTCTTGATCACGCAAAAACATGAGGATGACTTTACCGGTTTCATCCATCTTTACTTTAAACCTCTTATAAATAAACGAAGAATAAGCTTGGATTAGTTACTTTATGCTCTGTCTCTGTTTATTGAATGACAAATGGCATTTTAGTGACACGACCCAAAACTGGCGTTACTAGTCTAAGCTTACTCCTCGGTTATTAATAAGGGGGTTGAAGTTTTATAGTTCTCTGTTGGTTGGTTGGTTGTATGGTTCTTTCAATAAAAAGACAGTTGTGCAGAATATAAGAAAAATTAAACTTCACTTAACTTAGAACTCTACCGTATAGTGTTATTTAGTATACCGTATAGTACTGCGCTGCATTGGGGTACAAATATTTGTTTGTATCTATAATGGGGATGATGACGAGGTATAGTAAATTAAGTTGTAATAATTAGCAGTTAGATTTTCAAAAATAATGGACACATATTTTTTCAATAGTATAATCATAACAGTATATACTGTTAATATTACACTTAAAAATATAGTATTTCTTAAGTAATCATTTAGCCTCTGGAACTTCCTCCCCGTTAACATCAGACGTGCCCAGAGGATTGGTTTATTTAAGAAGCTGATAAAATATTTTTTCCTTTCATAGAGTTGATTGTGTTGTTCCAACTGTATGTATGTGTATGTCTCTCTACTCATTCATTTAATATTTGTAAACTTTAATGCATTGTAGATATATGACAGTGTTTAATCATGGATCTTTTATTGTAATTATTTTTATTTTGTATATTAGCACACCCCCTCTTTTATTAAATTTCGTCTCTTCATCCTATGGTAGTCTGGCAGAAATTGCTATATAGCAATAAGACCGCCAGTTGATCCTATTTGAAGTTTTGTCCTAGTGTGCAATATTTAATGTGGTGTGCACAATAAAGTGTTATCTATCTATTTTATTAAGAAATAACTATTTAAGAATACTTCTGTATACAACAGCGAAAAGCCCTTTTTTGTGAAGTAAAAAAAAACTCAGATTGGTAATTTCTAATTACATAAGTTTTGCTAAAAAGTAATTTTTTATATGAAAATGGGTAAACTTGTTGAAAATATATCGATGTATCGATATATCGATATTCTTTGTTCGATATATTGATATATTTTGATTCGATACAAAATAACCAATATCGAAATTCGGCATATCACAATCTAACTAAATTCGTATCTGGAAAAATCGTAACTGGATCTCAGATTAATGATATTCAACATATCTATGATCTGTGCTGTATTTAGTATTGTCTATTATTTGTAAATCTGTTTCGCTGGTGAATTGGTTGTGCTGATTTCCATTATACCTATTCTGTGAAGTGTGTGACTGTCTAGTCTTGTTTACGAAAGAGACCCTGCAATCATTTACCTGAGAGGCCCTGCAATCATTTTCATCATTCGAAAACAGGGTCTATTTTTAGGGAGATAATTTTTGTTCCATTATTATTCCGCGTGTCATATTTCGTGAGATACTGTACGATATTTTTGGGAAAATTGGTCCGATATATCGATGTTTTTTTCGCAATATATCGAAGCCGATATTGATATTTTTTAAAAGATCGATGTATCGATATATCAATATTTTTTTCAACTTTCGACATCCCTAAAATGGGTGGGTATGGGTTTTGAGAAAAGTGAGTTTATTTATTAATTTAATAATTGTGAATACAGCTGATGCCAAATACAAAATACAATGAGCTTAGTTATTACGTTTAACAAAACAAATATAGAGCATGTAAGAAAAGTAATTAATCGTCATCAGCCTACTAATGTCCCCACTGCTGGGGCACAGACCTTCCTTATAAATGGAATAGGGAGATTGGGCCATAACACACCACGTAGGCCCAGTGCGGATTAGTGGATGCTAAGGACTGCAGATGCAGCAGAGACCAACGGTTGAACGTGTCTTCCGAAGTACGGAGGAGCTTGAGATAGTAAATTTTTGGTCACCCATCTAATGACCAACCACTGCAGAAGTAAAAATATAAAGTCAGAAGAGGAAGAGTGATATTAAACGACGAGTTTCAATCAAGTCTCTGATAATTTATGTGCAAATGAAGATAGTTGTTTACGAAGATGGTTGTAGAGTTTAGTGCGAGCAGAAACTAACCAAAACAAATAATGCAATATATAAAAAATAAGTTAGAAGAGATATTCAAAGGTCTTAATTTCACAGCTGCGACAGTACAGTAAATTTTCTCCTAATTCAGATGCATATGAAAATAGCTATTTACAAAGGCGGGTGTAGTGTAGTGCGGTCACACACAACCACACATATTTATAATAATATATAATAATAAATATAAAAAAATGCAGGTAAGAAGTAGAAGAGCTATTAAATAGTATTATTTTCATAGGCACAGCGACAGTTCAGTCAATGTTCTCATGATTCAGCTTCGCATGAAAATAGATGTTTATAAAGACGGCTGTAGTACAAGCACACATAGACCAACGTGGATGTATTAATGATATATGTGTATATTAAAAATGGTAGGTAAGAAAGATATTAAACGTTGTTATTTTCACAGCCGCAACGGCCAGACACAGTCAATTTTCTCACAATTCAGGTGCACATGAAAATAGCTAGCTATTTACGAAGACCGGTATAGTGTAGTACAGGCGCATAGACCGATGCAGCGACGACGCGGCGCGGGCGCAGTGGCGGCGGGCGTAAATCGCGACGCATCGCGCCCTCATTCGGCGTCGCTCGGTTCCGCATTGTACGCAGCCGTCGTCATCGCCGGAATCATATAGGGCGGATAAAACGATCCCACCTCACGTGTAACATCTACTTTTGATGAAACATTTAGCGAAATATAATATTCATCGCCGGAAGCACCGAGCATTCGATGCTGCGTCACAAAGCTTGATCACTAGAATATTGAAATTGGTTATCGACGGAAGGATCATCTTTAAATGGAATATAATTTCTGCGATCACTAGCTTTTGAATAAGGAGTTTTATCGTAAAAAATATTGGTCTCATTGATTCTCCTTAAGTATATATGTACATATATGAAAATATGAAATACACAATACATATATGAAAACTTTACACATAATAAATTAATAAATATTTCCAATGCTCACGTCAATTAGCCTAGCCCCAAAGTAAGCACTGAAATGCTTGTGTTAAGGCCTAAGGGATACTAGGGTGACGGATAGGAATTGACATACTGATATATGTATACTAAATACATATGTTATATGTATTTCTATATAAACTATACTTAATTTTTATATTAAATATAAAATCCATGACTTAGCTTCAAATGCTCGTATTCATCATACTAACATTTGCCGCACCGGGATTCGAATCCGGAATCTCAAAGTAGGCGACACCTCGGCCACGGAGGTCGTCAATGTTTGTTCATTAACCTGTTTAAGTAAAAGATTAAAGGTTATGAGCGATTAACTTTTCATTGTGTACAACAAACGGATATACTTTCATCGAAGCGCTGTCACCACCAGATCATATCCACCAACGTATTTTCGTCATGCCAGCACTTCACATGGATATCCATTATTTGCTTTTTCATGAATTTTACAGCAGCGTTTGTTTACCATGCTCTACTACAGGAACGAAAAGGAGGGAATGGTTGTCACGTTTACAAAGCAAA